ATGATATCTTGTTTGAATTATTACAGAATCATGTTAGCTCTGTACCTATTGGAATAAATAAGCCGTAAACCCTAAAAAAATAAAAATGTAAAAAAGGTATAATATGTTCTGTTGGATCTCATGTCCAAACATGAACTGAGGTCCATTAGAGGCAGCAGAAACCTTTGATGAGAGAGAACAGAATGTGGGCTTGACATGATGCTGTGCTGACTGAGCATGATAGTCTTGAAACTAAAAAGCTGATTAAATATTCAGTCCCGAGTTTTTTTTTTCATTCCTTCAGAAGGAAAACATCATATGATATTCAAACGTCACAGCTGCAATTAGAAAATATCAAATAGTTCCTGTCCTCTCTGCCTGCACCAGCAGAACTCTGTGAAAACTATTTTACCTTGATTGACTCGGAGCTTGAAATGCATGACACGTAAAACTATTTTAATCTCTGATTCAGCAGTTCTCACCTCATGCTGATGCAGTCTTTTTGGTAGAGACGTCATGCTCACAGACGGTGCTAAAGACTCTCAGCTACTACCACAGCTCTGCAACTTAAGCTTATCTGTAAAAATGACTTGATTTGAGCCATTTGGGTTTTTTAAAGGTCAGTTGGCTGTTGTAGCCACCCAGAATCACACTGTCTCCAAAATTAAAGAGTTGTAGATGTACATCTAATCAGTGTTGTATAAAGTACCACAAAGTGCTACTTTGGTAGAAAGTTAAAGTCTCCTTTAGGAATATTACTTGAGTAAAAGTCTTAGTATCTGATATGTTTTGCACTGAAGTATTAAAAGTAAAAGTATTGATTTAAATTGAGCAGTTAGATTTTCTGTAAGGACATTTATTAGGAGGTGACCTCCCCAAAAACTGCAGAAATGACTGTTTTATTAAAATGATTAATTCATGTTAAATTTTAGGATGCACTAGTCCAGCTGTTTCAGTTTATATACATATATCAAGGCTGCACAAACCTTTTCCCCAAAATAAATGCCTATCAGAGGGCTGTGGCCAAATGCAATAATATAATTCATGAAATACAAATACATACTTTTAAATACAGGCACAATTTACATGGATGTATTTTCTACAATAACAAGCTGGGATGAAAACAAATCAAAAAATGAAATAAAAGTAACTTTCTACTTCTTGCCTTTTTTTAAATGTAAGAAGTAGAAAGTACAGATAACTGTGTGAAAATGTAAGAAGTAGAAGTAAACAGTAGGCTGTAAAATAATTATTCAAATAAAGTACAGATACCCAAAAATTCTACTTGCGTACAGTAAAGAAGTGTTTGTACTTAGTTACTGTACAACTCTGCATCTAATTATTATTTTTTGAGGTTTTTTTTTTTTTAAGTTTTCCAGTGGTTCAGGAGTCATTTTGGTAACAAACATTAAAGACACTCAAAGGCAAATGCAAAATTGTCTGCCTTTTCTGAGTGACAAAAATGATCACTTTATACCCAAACAGGAATTGTCACAAGATGAGTCTGTGTCCCACTTGTTTCTTGTAATCACAGTAGAGTGTCTTATTTTGGTTGTTTACARCTGAAGTCAGTGATCTGATGACCCCAACTTCTCTAGATTAACAACAGTTTTTAGCCAGAGGTGCACAGGGAAACTCCTCAAGTARGAGTTGTTGACAAATGATCTCTGAGACTTGCAGAGGAAAATGCCAGAGCCAAAACTGCCTGGCAACAAAGGCGTGAGCAAATCAAAACAAGGGTGTAAAGCGAAACGTTTTAAAATTGTTTTGCAACACGAGTTTTTAAGTTGAGCTAATTTCACTCTACAAAAACAGGCCCCGGGCTGTTTGAAACAAAGAATTGAACGTCCTGAACAGATTTCAACTGGCCCACATGGCTGTGTCACATTAAAGGTTTGCTTTAAGATCACTAATGCATGTAGGACAAGTGCAGGAATCAGCAGACACCATCAGGTCTGCAGTCTCATGGCTACAACAGATCCATGTCTAAATCCCTTGCTGCAGACAAACCCACTGCAATTAACCTCCTTCACAGTAATCTGCCTGAGCTCCACTGATAGATGAGTGCACCGCTCAATTCATTGAACTGGGATGACTGATAGTCTTTATTTCACTGGAAACTCCAGATTTCTGACAACAATGTAGACTACGATTAGTAAGGGATCAGGGAATCTTAGGGGTTTGTAGCAAATTACTGTCAATATGTACTGATTCATGTTTAACACCTGCAAAGACTCACAATAATKGTTTTGCCCATGTCTGTGTTTTCATGTGTTTAGGAAAATATCTAATGACAAATATGAAAAATGCTGATGAAACGTTGAAGAATTAATCATCCGATGTACCTCTAAAACCTATTAAGTTTTGAAGCCAATTCAAAATGGCCACAAACTAATAAACAAGAACCCGTACAACTCTAAATTTTACAGATAAAGCTTAAATTTGACATGGTACTGGACGATAATGGTACATACTCTGAGCGTGACATCTCATGAGATCTACAATGCTAGGCCATTAAAGGCATTTATGATGACTATTTTTTAAAAATTATATTTGTGTGTATAAGCATTTACATTTTTGGATTTTTCCTCATCTTTTGAACAAAAAAAAATCTGACAATAGCTTGGATTCTAGCAGATCAAGAATTGTTTTTCATCATTATACAAAAAGCAGCTGACCTCTGAGAAAGCAGACTCGCTGATTTTTTTTTTTAAAACAAATCATTAACAATTTTATGAGTTTCCTTCTTGGTGCTGTACATATACTCATTTTTAATTTTCATTTTCTGTTCGCCTTTGGTACTTTCCAAAGTAGCCTTCCAGGAAAATATAAACTGAAAGTATTAACACTTACACTAGTCCAAGGGTCTGCAAACTTTACGATCAAAAGAGCCATTTCTGCTCCACGGCTCACTAATAAAATGTGTTCAAGAGCTGCAAAACAAGCTACAACTGTGATTTTCAACTGGTGGTCCATGGGCCTTCTCAAGGTCTTTTCGGGACTCTTTACGGCCAGTGGAGGTGGCATTGTAAAACTAAAACATATATTGTGAATTTTATAATTTATTATTATTTTTACATATCAGGACAAACAAAAAATACAGTATAGTTTATACC